AATAATGATAAAATAATATTTCTATTTATATTTTGAAAAAAAAAAGAAAACGGAAATGAGAACAATAAATTTGATTTTGTTGTTTTCAAAATTTATACACAATTTAAAGATAGGGTATTTATAAATCAATAATAATAAAATAGTACTTATCGAAAAAAAATTTGAAAACGGAAACCAGAACAATAAATTTGATTTTGTTGTTTTCAAAATTTCTACCCAATTTAAAAGTAATTTCTTAAAGATGAGAAACGTAAGATAATAACTGTTTTTCAAAATGAACCTCTAATTATAAGGTTTCCAACAGACAAATTATACTAATTCAATAGGAGTTGAGAGATTTTTTTATAGTTCTATTTGTTTATATATATTTTTATAAAGATTTTTTATAGTTCTATTTGTTTATATATATTTTTATAAATAAGGTTGAATATATAGAATAAAGTAATATATGAACTAATCACACTAGTTTGTATTTAAATAATAATAATAATAATTAGTTTAACATTTTCACGAAAGTGATACTGACCTGAACTATACGGTTTTTTTACCGTTAAAACGACTCAAACTTCAATCGATTAAAATGTTAAATAAAAAATCGATTAAAATATAATTTCCGTCCAAAGTGTTACTGAAAAAAAAAGGAAGAAAAAACAATATTAATGGGAGGAGTAGGTTCGCAAAATTGGCCTCTAGCTCAATAAGGAGAAAGAAACATTTTTCTCCGAGTTTGGTATTTTTACAATTTTGCCTTTGCGTGCCTTTTTCTAACTAAGGCGGTCTATTAATGGTGGAATATACTTTTTTTCTTTTTTTTCTTTTTAATAAAGAAGGGGACTGTACTCTTTAAAATATATCCAACACAACAATATATAAAAATAATAAACTTAACCAAAAAAAGGTACTTTACGCTGGCCTGTGACTTGCGAGGAAGTAAAATGACTAAAATGCCAAACCTACGTTTTGACAATTGAGGACTATACTACTCTATAGACTATAAATATATTATTAAATACATATTACATAATTTTTAAATTAATATTCAATTTTCAAATCTGCTATCAAATACATATACGAAAACACTTAAAACATGAAATACAATTCTCGTTTTTATTGAATTCATTGTTTCTAGATTTATGTTCTCAAATCATCAACCGAGTGTATCCCATATACTTCATATTGATGTATAAATTAGATTATTCAATGGAAATCTATTCATGGTGCCATATTTACAAATATATCAACAAAAGTATGATTTTGTAAATATGATCACTAAAAAAATATCGTGCACCTATTTTGATATTTGTACGTAATAATATAGTTTATCAATAATAGATTGATAGGTCTTTGAAGGTTAACTTTATCACTAATAGATTGATAGACCTTTGAAGGTTAGTTTTGTCATTTAGATTTGGATTTTATTTTTCACTCTCTTTTTTTTACCATATTTACAAATTTTTGCAAGTGCTCTTTAAGCAAATATATATCCATGAAGTTATTTTAACAATAGATTTATTTTTTTTACATGGATTTTTCAAAAAATAGTTAATGCATTTCCCAATATATCATATTATACTTTTTAAGCATGATAAATTTACAAACACAAAAATATAAAATGTTTTAATTTGATTTCAAAACGTGTAGCATGTGTCGTTTGATAAATTTTGAAATACTACAATAATTAATAATTTATATATCATTATTTTATTGGTTCAAATTTTAATATTGGTCTTTCAACTTTAAAGCATCACTTTATTTTAGTTATAAATGTAGAGCATCTAGCTTAACCAATAAAATTTATAGAAATAACTATATTTATAATTATTAAAATGGATATTTTAAAAGTTTCAATACAAAAAATATAGTACGTTTCAAAAGATATGAGATCACAGTTAAAATCGAAGCCTACTTTATTTGGGAGGAGTTGAGTAATTATAGATATTAAAAATGTGTTAAATTACAAAAAATATTCATCAACTTTGCCCGATTTTAGAAATACACCTATACTTTCAAAAAATTAAATATTATCATTGACGTTTTATAAATGTTTCAAAAATATATTTGAAGGTGATGTCTGTTAATATTTTAAATAGGAAATAGACGTGACATAATTTGAAATGACGTAGTAACTCATAGAAGCTTGTCGGAAATAATATAATTAGTTGACACCAGCTACAATAAATTTGGTCTGTAATGACTCTAAAATATTCACAGGTATATACGCTAAGGACAAATTTGTTGTTCGAGCAAGTTTTCGTTAATTGACACACGTCATTTCAGATTATGTGTCATGCCAAATTTTTTTTAAATATTGATGATATTTATTTAAATTGTATTTTTCGAAATATTTATAAAAGGTGCGAAATATAGGGTAAAGTTTAGTAATATTATTATTGTTATTAATTTTTTAATTTAGCYTTCAAGATACAACAAACAGTTTTAGGGGATTAAATATTTTATTATTATTATTTTGAAACTGAGAATTAAAGATATATATATTTTTTCTTTCTATGTAGGGGAAGAATATGTCAATTACCATCAAAGAATTAAAGAATTGGGTGCGACGTTGAGACAATGCGGCCGCCTTGTAAGGTACAGTCGGAAGACTATATTAATTATTTATTAGGGTCCCACATATAATTAAACAGGTGGCTTCATCGTAGCTACTCTGGCAAGTAGTTGCATTGCAACTGAAACAATTTAGACTCTAAAGAACATTCGGACACGTTGCAACCATCGAATACGGCGTCGTAGCCGTAGGTTGAATTTATTTCCAACGTCGTAAGTCGTAACCTTAAAAAACGCATGTCCCGGTTTGCCGCTCGCCTCCGTGTACGCGTGCTCATCATGCACCCTCTTCCCCAACAGCCTAATTAATTATTCTTTTTAAATACTTATCACGGTCAAATTCAGCAGGAATAGTTTTCGATTGGTTTTTTTTTTCTTTTTCTTTTTATTTCTTCCTGTCAACTTAGCCAATTATTTTTTTTATTTGAGATTAGTTTCAATTCTGTTCCTAAAGTTTGGTTAGACCACACAAATGATCTATAAATTGTATTTTACTCTCTTGAAATTTCACTCTTGTTTTTTTACTTGATTATAAACTCTAATATAGCCAACTAACGCATAGGGATGGAGAATAAATCACTCCATCTTTTTTTTTTTAATTTTGCAGTTTAACAATTGCATAGGGATCAATTCTTACGGTGATGATAAGTGTCGTAGCCGCTTGAACTATATACTAATGAATTATAGGAGGCGAAAGCAATAGATTGGAGGTCATTAAAACTCATCAAATAGTAGAAAGTGAGCACATTTATAGGAGCACACTGCATGCGGCTAGGCTATGTAGCAACAATTGAGGTTATAATCGTCTTGAAAATTTGAATAGAGAAATGACAGCGTAAAATCTTAAAAAAACAAAATATTTTTGAATGGGCAAACTCAAAGAGTGAGAGAGAACTTTGGAAAAAGAAATGAAGAAAAGGATGGGAAGTAGATGTAGATCCAAGAAAAAGGGAGGAGGCCACATCAAATTCAATCATGGAATTAAAAAGGAAATTAAAGTTGTGGAAAGAAAGTGAAGAAATTTAAACTCTGATTTCTGTTGCTGCCCATAAATGGGCCTTTGGTGGGCCCAGTCCAATGATTATGGGTAGTGGCTGCTTTTTGGAGAAAAAGTGGCGCTGCTAAAAAAGTCTTCATAGTTGGCTTAGTGACATTTTGGTCAAACTCCTTGCTGCTTTCTTTTCTTCAGTTGGGTTAGTCAATATGGAAAATATTCAAAATTATTAGTTCTGTCCAAGTGTACCATGAAAATTTAATGCCCTAGTTAAGTCACATTTTTAATTATATTTTTGAAAAACAAAAAAAATAATAAACCAATATTTTTCAGGGCGCTTTTTGAAAATTAAAAACAACAAATAGAAAAAAAGTTACCAAATGTACATAATTTTTAAGAAACTAGGAATGAATGACAATGACGTTATTAGGACTTAGTTTTGTAACGTTCTTGTTTCTTATTTATTGTTTCTCTTTTCCTCCTTTTCAATCCAGAAAAACATAAGTGCATTCATATATTTAATTTTTAATATTTATGTTGTGTAAAATGACAATATAGTGCCTTTATCCATCCATGTTTTGGAACAAAACTAGAAACAAAAACCAAGAAATTTGAAATCCATTTAATTAATATTTACCTTCTTGTTTCTTGTTTTTATTTTATTAAGACAAACAAAACCAAGAAATTTGAAATCCATTTAATTAATATTTACCTTCTTGTTTCTTGTTTTTATTTTATTAAGACAAACAAAACCAAGAAATTTGAAATCCATTTAATTAATATTTACCTTCTTGTTTCTTGTTTTTATTTTTTTAAGAACCATACTTAAAATTGTATAGAAATTTTAAAACCATAAAAAAATTTCTTTGTTTCTTATTCCATTTTCAATTTCTTCCAAAAATATAAATAAAAAAATATTGTTTCACCATTATTGAATCAAAGATATTTAGGGTCGGACAATTATATTTTTCTTTATTAAAAAAGAGAAATTAGTTCACAGATTTATGTTTTCAGAAAAAAGGAAGCTGAGTAATTTATTTCTATTTTCAACTTTTTCCCCCGTGTTCGCAGGTCTGTAAAATTAGTTTGACTTACCATCACTGCAATACTAATTTTTACCCCTCAACATCCCGAATGTTATCCTTGTGGTTAATCTGTTTAAAAAGTTTAGATAGGCGAATATATGTTAGTGGGCCTAAACTTATGCAGGCCATATAGGCACGAACTTTACTGCACTTAATTAATTAATACATATTTGTTCACATTAGTCGTCTGAAATTGCTAAAAGGTTTTACAAATTTCCAAATAAAAAAATCAGGTTAAAAAGGACAGTTATTTGGTCAAAAAATATTATTTTTTCTATTTTTATTATATTTTTTCTAAGAACCTAATTAGAAATTTAACTTTTTTCCAAGAGAAAGATGAACGTCAAAATGATATCTTCCCAAATGTGTAAATAAATTCTTTGATTTAGTCTGTATTGCAAGTAAAAATCCATATTACCTGAGATATGTGCAATGACCACCAAAGAGGAGATATAGCCATTCAAAAATGCATGTGGGATACTTGCATATTTAGATACTAATTCTACAATATTACAACGGGGAGTGGTGTAGGCCGGGGTTTGCTAACACCAATGCATCTGCAAAAGGCAAAACATGACAGCAACTCTAAGCGCATTCAGATTCAATCAAGAAAAAAGAACCAGAGAACGAAAAAGCTAAACAAGCTGAAGAGTTACGAGTTCATACTATGTATATAACCAAACAAGGTACTTAATTCTTCTCCTCAGCCCATTATCCCCACATTCCCTTCTTCCCTCTCGGGTTTTGCAGAAACAAGTTTTCAACCAACGTAATATATCGTTCATGAACGACAATTACTAATAGTTTTATGTTTTAACTGTGTGCTAAGTTGTGTGAAACATGCATAATTCAACTAATCAATTATCTATACCTAAAGATTGGTTCAAATTAAAAAAAAAAAAAAAAGATTTTAACTTTATATGTAAAAGAAGAATTAATCCTTGAGATTTGAACATAGTATTGATGTGGAAGGGTGCAAAAAGCCCCCATTGTTTCTGCTTTTGCTTCTGTTTTTCCCCCTAGAGTTCGATTTATAGTTAGTTAAGCACTTGAAAATGCTTGTGATTTCTATAATCTTTGCTAAAATAGAACATGACTATTTTTCTCTGTACAGAACTAACGATACTCCGGCCAATGGGAAAATAATCCGAGATAATTGATTCCGTACCTTACAGAGCTATACCAGGATTTCCACTGCAGCCACCCTTATATGGTTGTTGAACTCCTTCCATATCTTGTTTCTTGAACATGGATGCTCCTACCCTGTTGAGGAGATCGTTTGGAGGGACTAGGTGCCCCGTCCCATGATTGTTCTGATGCGTGACTCTGAGAAACTAAGTACTCAAGAGCTACAACGATATCACTGATAATTGGCCGGAACGTTGGCTGCTCCTGGAGGCACATTGCAGCAATTGCGATTGCATGGTGAAGACATCGAAGAGGGTATCGTCCTTCCAGTAGCGGGTCAACTAATTGAACGAACTTCCTCCGGTCCTTCAGAAAAGGGCGAGACTGCAGCGAGGGATGGGGGAAAGAAATGTAGTTGTTAGGGCCATTCCATATCATTTGTCATTAAAAACAAGAAGCAGAAGTCCACCCACGGCAGATAGAACTAGGCAGGAAATTCGTGAAACAGTTTCTTTTCCCCAAGATTATGAAGGGCATCCACAATTTTGTTTGCACATGCCAACATAAGCAGACAAAGGCCCTGCCAAAGGCGGCCATGGCACGAGTAGATATGGAAACACACAGGGTCAGAAAAAAGATAATAGACATTTTCCAAGGACAATATAACAACTTACCCAAGCGACCAGATTTTGCTCTCCAGGTTTCTTGGTGCAGTCTATGGCTTTCCTACCTGTAATTATCTCCAAGAGAACCACACCAAAGCAATAGATATCAGATTTAAGAGTCAGTTTGCCGCTCATGGCATACTCCGGAGCACAATAACCATATGTTCCCATCACTCTGGTGGAAACATGGGTGTTGTCACCGACCGGTGCTAACTTAGCCAGTCCAAAATCCGAGAGCTTTGGATTGAAGTCATCGTCTAGTAAAATATTTGCAGATTTCAAGTCACGGTAGATGACTGGTGGATTGGCTGTGCAGTGAAGATACTCGAGGCCCCGGGCTGCACCAAGGGCAATCTTGATTCGGGTGTTCCAACTCAATGGTGGTCTTTCGGGGGACAAGCCTGAAAAAAAATACAGACAGCAAAAGGGAAAGGAACATCATCAGGAATCAAGTAGAGTCCCTCCTTCACATTTAAACTACAAGTCAAACTATCTGACCTTAAAATTTTACATTCAAATCAACCGGCATTACAACCGAAATACATCTGAATCATTTCTAAGTTATTCTATTAGGATATTAAAAGACATAGGCACCTCTCCCTTCAATCCCTTGAGCTCAGTAACAGAACAAATTTCGAACGAGTCTAATATCTTTTGGTTCGTTCATAAGCACAGGGCAAAGATCGATAGATATTTACCAAAAAGATGGTTTTCCAAGCTTCCCATCGACATATACTCGTAAACCAACAGTCTTTGATCTCCATCAGTACAATAACCAATCAAGGTAACAAGATTACAATGATGCAATAAGCTTAGCATGAGAACTTCGACGATGAATTCCTGAAATCCTTGAAGACCGTCATGATTGAGTTGTTTAATCGCAACGACCTGCTCAAGCAAGCAAACAACCAACTGCATAAACATTGAGTTCAACTTTACAGAAAAACAAAATCACATTCCGTTTTTTGCCAATCTAGGACATGAAAAGAACCCGGCAGTAACAACCTGGCCCGTTTCTAATCGGCCTTTGTAAACCCTTCCAAAACCCCCTTCACCAATCAAGTTCACTTCCTTGAAACCTCTCGTGGCCGTTGCCAGTTCACGAAACTGGAAGCTCCGCGCAGCCCCGCATTTCCGGTTGTTTCCGCTTCTGCTTTGTGATTCCTTCCCCTTTCCAGTTTCTGCAAACAAATTTAACAACCAGATGACGAAAAATCAAAAGGGTTTTCTTTTCTATTGATCATTTTCTGCTTGCAAAAACATGAACCAGCATTAAGATTAAGGTAGCGGCATTAGCCATTTACCATTCCAATACGACTTTCCTCTCCCACTCCCTGCGATTTTTTTTTTGCAAATTTTCAAATCACAAAGCACAGACGATTCAGTGAACTCTGAACTAAAAAAAAGATGTAAGAAAGGCGGTAGAGCTCAAAATTCGATCGAGTACCGTACCATTATCGATTTCGACCTTGCTGGCGTCTTTACAGCGAGTACGAATGCAAGAAAAGCAGCTCATATCTCCAAAAACAGAGCAATAGAAATTGACACTCACATACAAAAATCACCAAAACCAAAGCAAATTTTCCCAATTCCCAAGTCCACCAATATACACATTTCAAAATAACTACGCTCTAGCCCTGACCAGAGGGAGAAAGCTTGTACCCATGAGCATTCCCCTCCGAATCAGGAAGATTCGAAGACAAACCCTAGGGCTAAGCACGAGAAGAATCGGCTGGAGGGAGAGAGAAGGAGAAAAAAAATATTTTACAAAAAAACAAAATAAAGAATGTAGTTTAGTTTACAATTTACATACTCTCAGACCCAACAAAAAAAGAGTAAATAAATAGAGAAATTCGATCAGAAGAAACGCCACTGCGAACATGATCTTCCAGCCGGAGATCCAAAGGACAAAAATTGAGAAAACAAAAGCTAAATTTAGAATGGGTTGGCCGTCCGGGGATAGGCACGGCCGGAGATCGGGTTCGCGAATCCGGCGAAATGAGCGGAGAGGATAATGAGAGAGAAAATTTGGGTTCAAATTTCCGCGTTTCTTCCTAGAAAAAGGAAATTTAAGTTAAAACGATAGACCAATTTTGTTAGGGTTTGAATATCGGGGATGGTGGGCCTTAATTTCTTCGCATTTATTTTTGTGGGCAATCGCCACAAGTCGCTCTCTCCCCTCTGAATTCCTTCTTTCCCTTATCCCGCATTTAAACGTTCCGGTCGGCCGGTCGACCGGTTTACGCCACTGCCCTTCCTCCGCACTATTATTTACGATATTGACACTGTCCGATTGATTCCGGTCCGGTTCGAATCGTGGGTTGTCGTGTTTGACTTTAATTTCACACCCATGTCAACGCCTTTCCTCCATTGACGGACGTTAAATCTAACCTGACGGAGAACTGTAGAAATTCGGTGCAAGTGCAACGCATTCACATCACATGCAATGCTGCTTAGAAATTCAAATTATCAATAAATTAATTGGTTAATTGTTTTTTTCTTAAGGTTTCAGTTGAAAATGGCAGTGAAGCTTGATGCGCCAACTGGATGGACATAGACAGAAGCAAAGTTGTGGTTATTGTCAACAGTGATATTATTTTGTTCAATTAAAAAAAAAAGGTTCTTTTTTTTTTTCAAGAATCGCTAGTTTCTACTTAAACAACTAGGTGGGCCCCACAAAAAAAGAAATAAAGAAGGGAAAAAGAAGACAGAAATTGAAACAAAAAATAGCACATGATTGGGTTGTTGTATTATGTGAAGAATGGTGGTCATAGATTTTGACTCAAATCTAGGATATTAGTGTCGAGAAAGACCAGCCAATTCATTTTCAGCTTCGCTGGACTTAGGAGACTGACAAAACTATTTAACTGGAAACCCTGTCTGGTTCCACTTCAGCATTCAATGTTTGGCTGTCTGGGACCAGAATTACATGGGAGGTCCATTAAATCTTAATAACCCCAAAAGAAAAAAAATTAGATGGAATAGAATTATGAACTCTTCTTCAACATGGTGAGATGGAATCATTTTTACAGTCAAAATTTGAATGAAGAACAGTATAATTGAACTGACATCATTTAGTCAATGGGTTAGAGAGGCAATAATCAGACTGTTTAGACAACAACAAGTACAGCATTGTTATTAAAAATTCCACTGTATATTGATTATGGGTTTAGTTTTCTCCACATGACACAGATAAATGAGGTCGATCTACACAATAACTGCACAAGTCCCTATGGTATAGAGATCGAGAAAATGAGAGATGGACTGAAGTTACTATCTCTGTACAAAACTGCAACATTACTTGTATTGTATAAATCCCAAATAACATCTCCTCAGTCCTCACAGCTGCAATACTAAATCTGGTTGAATTTGTGAAAGAATCTGCAGGTTGGAACTGGGTGCTACAGATGAGCCTAATCCAAAATTGAGGTCCGGATTGAAGGTGACCGAATCCAGCACAGGATGAGTTGATAATTCTTGCCAACGTGTTTTCTCGCCGAGCCCCTTCTCGTCTCGACGTGCTTCAATCAACTCTTGAACGTAGACACGAGCCGGTGAATGCTGCGAGTGTGAGCCATCTTCTGAAAGCCTTTGCATTTTAACTAGGCTCAGTAAGTCCATATCACCAGAAGGGATTTGGAAAGAAGCAGTGTTGTGAGCAGGAGATGTACAATGCATTTGATAAGGCACTGAAGAGTCATCTGAACAAGACGTCCCTCCCATAATGCTATCAAGTCTTACCATTCTCATTTCTGGCGAAAAATGGGGAACAAAATTGCGGTGTATGTTTGAAGGAATTACGGTTTTCTCCTCGTTCGGTATACAAGTTGTAGATGCCATCCCACCCCTACTTCTGTCTAGCAATATTGTCTCACTTTGGGTACTTCTTTCTCTGTCGATTTCGGTATCTTCACTGTGTTTCAAAAAATTACTCGAAATACCAAAGTTGGAGCCGGATATACTTTTACATGGAAGAATGCCTGCGCTCTCTGCTACTGTTTTCGTGTCTGACAAGGAGCCTCCATCCATAGGCAACATGCGCGGCTGCCGTAGCATTTCAATTTCTTGTGTCAATACAAAACCCAGCTCCCGACTAATACTTTCAATTTTCTTGGAAGCAATCTTCCAAACTACAGGA